TCCGATTTCTCATATCCAAAGTATGAGATATCTCATAACTAGTAAACAAGAATTGTCCGTTGAGTCATCATCTCTGGCCTAATCCTCAGATAGAGATTTCTCCATCCAAATGATTGAAATGATAGAGGAGTTGTCCTCATTGTCAGAGTCTTCTGATTTGCGCTTGGCAAATGGTGCGAAGTTTGCAAGTGGTGGCACGAGTATCGTCGATCTCGTGTTCTTCGTCATTGTCGACGAGAGGAAGAATGGGTTTGTCACGCAACTGTTTCTCAAAGTTGCGGAACGCATGCTTTCCTTGAGCCATCTTCATGGTGAAGGAATAGGTTGAGGGTAGCTGAAAGCTATTGTGTTTGTTAACAAAATGCACTACGCTAAAAGCTAGTGTAAAGATCTTTCGAGTGTTTTGAGTTTTGAGAGAATGAAAGTTATGAGAGAGATTAGAAAGCTATGAAAACTAATCAACGAGAGAGATCATCATCAAAGGATCGTAGATCTGGCTTCCCGCGGGAGACTATAAAGTGTGATAGAGTAGGTTGTGTAGTAATCCTACGTCTCTCCACGATCCTAAAACGGAACGCGTGGAAGGTTTGTCTAGCCTGGTCTAGTAGCGTGGAAGTACTCCACGCTGGCTAAAATATCTAGAGCGATGTTTCATCATCAACCTAGTATGACTAGCGCGGTCATTGAGAACCCTGTCTCAAATGACTATTCACGAGAGACTCAGTCATGAGTCGAACTCAAACCCTATCTAGGATCGAGTCGCGAATAAGTGCACTACGCTAAAAGCTAGTGTAAAGATCTTTCGAGTGTTTTGTGTTTGAGAGAATGAAAGTTATGAGAGAGATTAGAAAGCTATGAAAACTAATCAACGAGAGAGATCACCATCAAAGGATCGTAGATCTGGTCTCCCGCGGAGACTATAAAGTGTGATAGAGTAGGTTGCGGGTAGTAATCCTACGTATCTCCACGATCCTAAAACGGAACGCGTGGAAGATTCGTTCTAGCATGATCTAGTAGCGTGGAAGGCTCTCACGCTGGCTAAATATCTAGAGCGATGTTTCATCATCAACCTAGTATGACTAGAGCGGTCATTGAGAACCCTGTCTCAATAACTATTCACGAGAGACTCAGTCATAAGTCGAACTCAAACCCTATCTAGGATCGAGTCGCGAATAAGGCTAAGAGCCGTGTATTGCAGCCAGTGTAGTTCAATTCTGTACATGTACGTACTCGAGAGTCGAGAGTGCGGGGAGGGAGCTGGGGAAGGGAAAAGGCGATTGTAATATTGTGATCTTACCAGGTGGGGAAGGAGGTACTGGCTAGCTAACTAGTACTGCAGTCTGCAGTCTGTGGTGGCGGAGCAGAGGTGATTTCGGAGCTACGGTACGTATTTCGGTAGGCAGGAGGCAGGAGGTCCCTGCACCACATGGGGGCTCAGCGAATTAAGCAATCCAGCCGCGACACATCGATGACATAACATTGTATGCAGTACGCTTATTTACTCCTTGGTATTTTTATTTAGTTATTTAGTTTGGTTGATGGTTGATGGTGGCAGCGTGGTAGCTATGGTGGCTATTCACGGTGCACCTTCACAAATAAATGAGTGATCTGAATGCAGAAAAGAGGAAAGGAGACTTGGGAACCCCCACAATGTCAAATCCCAAATAAATTTCAGATCGCTGTCAACTCAGCACCACAGCGAATTAAAGGGCACAAAGGAGCACAGGAGTCAAAGAGGGAATTATCAAGCTGCACCCTAACATCCACCATGAAGAATTATTGCTTTGTCGCGCTTGAAGAAAGTCAGGGAAGTGGCGGGAACATCACCCTAGTTTGGCGCAATTGCGCTCTTTTTTACAGCGCCTCCCGTTCACTAGAATCTGGATTTGAACCATGTTCATTGAAATAGTTCACTAACCGGATAGTATATGAACTGCCTTTCATGAACCAGCCAGTTTTTGCTGTCAAATCCAGTGAAAGTGAACCACTCGTTCATGAACCTCAATGAACTACCGGTACAGCCACACTGTAGCTCATCACACTGTACCGGTAGCTCATCACACTGTAGCTCATCACACTGTAGCTAGCCACACTGTACGGGTAGCCATATCCCGTGTTGTAACTACCCATTGGAATTGCAGCAATGTTGAACGGAGGAAGGGCAATCTGGCCCAGGAGATGGCCCTCCTGAGAGTCCAAAGCCAGACAGCAAAGTACTAATGCATGATCTTAACGAATCTACTTGGAATAATACCCCAGGAAGGATGATGATGACATCTATAATTGCAGTTGTTGTACTTAAAAAGCAACTAATAGTAAAAAATTGACTTTGTGAACCAGATTTCATGGTGGGGCTCACTAATATCACCACTCCAATGAATCATGAACTGTGTTCATGAAATGGGCCAACCCTAATGAACGCCTCTTCATGAACCTCCTTGGTGAACCGTTCACGAACCTGTTCGTGAACGTTCATTGAACTTTCCAGTGAATGGGAGGCACTGCTTTTTTATCTTGGAGGTCTAGGCCCGTGGATTGCAATTTGCAAGCTTTGCACCAGGGCAACAGCTCTTCTCACATACCGGTACATAGTTCATCAATTCATCTATCTGGTCCACGAAGCTACCGATCCCTGGTGAATATCAATATCAAAAATAGTTCTTGGCAAACATGAGGAAGTCGTCTCTCTCAAATCTGGTGTCGGAAGGAGGCGATGCCCAATCCAATCAAGAAGCAGCCACTCCTTCGGTCGGTGAAGAAATCGACTTGCTGGACGTTGTGGCTGATAGGATTGAAAGTTACAGAAACGAGGAAAGGACATTGGATATCTTAACGAATGATCAAGAGAACACATCGACTACTAAAGCTGATGACATGACAGAACAGATGATACAAGGAGGAAAAGGCCAGCAGCAAAAGGAATTGCGTTCTGCCAATCTTAACACAAGGAGCCAACCATCACGAAGCGAGGTCACAGAGGACAACATAGGAGCCCCCCGTCAAACAACCTGTCAAAGTAATCAAGAGCTTTCAGCACCAGGAGCCTATGCCTTGGCACCAACACCGTCTGACAACAATGATGCCGAGATAATTATTGAAGAAACCAGGCATTACATTGAACCAACCCCACCCGAACAGGACAGCTCTGGTTTGGCAGTTGCCAAAGAGGTGCCGGACGATCTAGAAGATCCAAGAAACTTGCCACAAGCAGAAGAGTTCAATGAGAATAGAGAGTCTCAGAAAACCCAAGAGACAAATAAGCTGATTGCATTGGTTCTTGGCTACGGCATCTGTCTTGTTATTCTCATTGTGCTGCTTGTGGTCCTGTTGTGGAAAAGAGGTGATGGAACTGAACCTACGCTGGCCATGGAACGTGTCGAATCCAACAAAGAAGATGGCCTTATGGATTATGCCATGGTCCCTAGTGCATCTCCTGTCTTTGAACGGCTCCTGAGCTACTTCCCAAACTATACTATCCAGGCATTGGAGGTCCCAGGGTCTCCACAATCCAAAGCATTGGAATGGCTACTGGATGATCCAGATCTAATGGAATATGTAGATTTGGAATGGAGGGTGAAGCAGCGGTTTGCCCTGGTGGCCCTGTTTTACTCTACCAATGGCTTCAACTGGACCCACTCTGATAGCTGGCTGAGTTATAGCCACCATGAGTGTTTCTGATATGCAAGTGGATCCATTCTCTTTACGCTTCCTGGGACAGGCGACAACTATTTCAGAGGGGAGTGTCAGAATCCATGCCATCTACCAATCAATAATACAAGTGCCAATGGTACTATGGAGGCAATGAACTTGATTGAAGACCCCACTGAAGGTTCCTACAAACAGCTGTGGTTCCACATGAACAGATTGGAAGGCCAGCTTCCAGAAGAAATCTACTGGCTGACAAATTTGGAGACAATTAGTCTCTTCTTCAATAAGCTTGATGGGCCCATATCCTCACAGATCGGTCAGTTGCAAGAGTTGGAAGCAGCAATCTTCAGCTTCACAGATGCCACAGGGACTCTTCCAACTGAGATTGGGATGTTGAGTGACACACTTGCCTTCTTTCTCATCGAGCAAACTCAACTGTCTGGCACAGTTCCTACTGAGATTGGCATGCTTTCCAAAATGGAAACATTGTTGATGGACGCAAATCATTTCTCAGGCACCATTCCAATAGAACTGTTCCAACTCACCAATCTTCAGATGCTATACGTGGACAGCAACAGTCTGACTGGGACTCTGGCATCAGATATTGGCTTGCTTGGAGATCTTGACTGGCTTGCTGCTTCTAATAATCGCTTGACAGGTACATTGCTTGCAATGGATTACAAGTGTTTCCCTGGAACAATTCTATGCTTTCCAACTCACCAAACTCGGGCTCTTCTTTATCACAGGTACATTGCCGACCGAACTCGGTCTTCTCACTATTATAAATGAACTCTATTTGGATTCAAATCTTTTTCATGGACCAGTAAGTCCTAACCAATGTTTCAAGCCAGAAGCACTTTGCATGGATACCAACCCGTGTTTCTTGTTACAGATTCCTTCTGAACTCGGAATGCTGGATTCTAGTCTTTGGCAGCTTCGTCTCAATGACAATCAATTGGACTCTACCATACCGACTGAGTTTGCTTTGATATCATCTATGAAGTCTGTAGAGCTACAGAACAACACTCTTTCAGGCCAAGTTCGATCTGAGATTGCTTCACTGCCCCACCTCACTCACTTTCTGGCACAGGAGAACAGACTCACCGGCACAATTCCCAACGAGTTCTTCAGCTTTCTCGAGACCAATGGTACATCCACCTTGAAAGTTTTCAACTTCAGCAAAAATGTGCTCAGGGAACAAGATGATTCTTGCTGGGTTAATGAAACCTTCCAACAGACTGTTTGCCATGACAAAACCATCTGGCCATTTTATTGCAGGTGCAAGTGCCAATGTTGATTGGATGGTGATGCATGGCTGGCTGGACAGCAAGTCATTCCTGGTCTAGTTTGCTCGGCCTTGGTCTGCTTGGTCTGGGCTGGGTTTTGAAAGCTGGGCTTGGGCTGGGCTTTGACAAGTGAACAAGAGCAACTAGCTAGCGGTATAGTTATGGGCTGCAAGAAGAGGCAACGCCCTTTAGCATAGGTATTTGATATCAACGCCTTTTAGCATATCTTTTCACATTCTATCGTCTTGGAAGTTCTCCCTCGTCATCAACTGCTGATGCATCGCTTAGGATTTTGCTTTTTAAATGATATGGTGAGCCGGGTACTTTGTGTGGTGGGTGTGACATCCTCGTCCTCCTCTTTTCCCCCCTTCTTTCTCTTGGTTCGTTCTGGCTTTTCTTGGTAGCATTGCGGTGGCTGCTGGGGTAACGCCAGCGCTCACATCGATTTCTCCTGTCTGCAGCTGGTGCTATCATTTCTGGTTGTACGGTACTGACACAAAGCATAGATTTGCCAGACCGAGCTCTAACAGTTTCGGGTCGGGGTTGGTGCTTGTAAACCCGAACCCACGAAAACGAAGGCAAGTCGTACTACCACGATTGGCGATTGCGAAGGCGACGAGAGATCAGGGCACCTCTCACAAAATCGTGGCAGGCCACAACACAAAAACACAACCCGACTCCTTCCCCAAGCACCAGCGACAATGCCCCATCCATTAACAATGATCCCACCGATTACCTTTGGTCTCGAGATCTGCAAATATCTCGAGCCCAAAGACATCCGGAACCTGTTTCAACTGGAGATTGCCAAGCGGAAGAAACTGAAGCGTTTCTACTGGACCTCTGTGGAAACTACGAGTCGTGCTACCGATCGTCTCCTAAATCCTTTTTTCGTCTCCTATTTAATGGATTTCGTCTCCTAAAAATAGGAGACGAAACGGATCGTCTCTTAAATCTTTCGTCTCCTCTTAAATCGTCTCCTATTTTCAACGGATCGTCTCCTATTCTCAACGGATCGTCTCTTAAGTGTACCATGTAAACTGTATGGTATCGTCTCTTAAATCTTTTGGATCGTCTCCTATTTCGAAACGATCGTCTCCTAATTGTAATGTTTCCTGCTGAATCGTCTCTTAAATATAGGAGACGATTGCTTTCGTCTCCTAAATCATTTCGATCGTCTCCTATCCCTCGGTGTATCGTCTGTTAAGTATGTTTCCACGAATGACGTTTCCACAGAGGTCCTGTCCCAAACACTTTGTGCCATTGCAAACTCCAAGCGACGAGGATCTCCAAAACGAATTGAAGGAAGAGGAGTGGCCCGAAGATGTCAACATGCCAGACTATGGGCCATACAAACAACGCTGCCAGCAATGCCGCTTTGAGCTTCGCCGGATCCCCTGTGACTTTGGATGCAAATCCACATGTATTGAAGGTAAAAGCAACGAATGCAGCGAACTCATCCATCGTCACCTGGCAAACACCAAGGTTTGTTGCAATTGCTCCAAAAAGTATTATTTCTGTACACAGAACCACCATGAGCTCTTTTGTTGTGCTGGGGACCGGTGCAGGGAAGAAAATACATCATGGACATGTCCCGATTGCAGTTCTTCTTTTGCTTTTGAGAGCGGGGACTACTGTGAATATTTTGATGAAAGCTTTGCGTATTGGGAACTATTCCAATGGCCTTTTGAGGAGTCGAGACGCTCTTCATTACACTTGCACGGTGTTGGTCGTACTGAGGATGACCCCGCCAACAAAATGCGACTGTGTGTGCATCATTCGAATGGGATCACTAACCGATTCTGTCACCCAAGTTGTGCGCGAGAGTCGTGCCACTATTGCCCGGAAGCATCTTGCGTCGACGGCTTCTATTTTCGAAACACAGTGATGAATTTGCATGGCAACAATGACAGAATGGTGTGTAGATCTTGTTTCAATGGATACGTTTTGAATCCCTATTAAAATTGACAAGACGACGAAGCCAAGCTAGTCACGCCACTCTTGGCAACAACTAAACGAATCCGCTGCAGTTTATGTTGCAACTCGGTTCCATTTGCAGCAAACCCATCATCTCCCTACTAGTAGCTGCCTCCCTCTTTGTTGGGTCTAACTAGCTCCTGCAAGCGCATGCAGCACCAAGCTCGAGCCATAGCAATTGGTCTGCCCTCCGACGATGTCCTTCGTTTAGCTGACATGTACGACGCCTCACAGCACCCAAGACCCTCAGGTATCAAGTCTTCTGTCGGGTCCTATAATAATAACTGTCTATTGCTTCGTGTTATTGTATTCTCCCAGCTCTTATGGCCGTCATCGCTGCCTATGCTACCAGGCACACTCGTAGCTACTAGCTAGCTGGTAGCCAGCGAGACGTAGAGCCAAGCTATTGAGGCTCCCGATGGATTTTGTGAGGACTGGTGTGTCTTGCAGTCATTTATTTGCAGGTGTCATAGCAGCTCATCCATGCACTGGTGGCACCAAATTTTGTGGAAACTGCTCTGAAAAAGAAATAGGACTTCTCCTTTTGCCTCTTGGTAAAACATGCAGACACTGGTTCTTTGTAATAATTGAAAATCATTGATAAAAATGTCCATGACCGGAAGTGCCTCCAACCAGGATTGAGCTTATTGCCATGCTGATTCGATTCTTAAATTCTTTGGTCTATCCATCGACAGCTCCAACTCGGCACTCGGCACACAAACTGCCTTGATCGATCGATACGGTGCAGAGCGAATGGTTACCCTTGGTCGTGTGTGTGTGTGTTGCTTCATGTATGTTGTTGATGGCAGCAACACAGATCCATTCATTAGTTGCTACCAGTACTGAGATCGGTACGGTGCCCCCATCCCTTGGCCAAGAGGCACCAGCTACCGGTAGCTCGAGGACAGCTAGCTAGTTTGTTGTGCGTTTCTGTTTTCTGCTGGACGCCCTTTCATTATCAATTGCCCAGACGAAGTCGAGAGGGCCATCCATCGATCTACCCGTTGTTTGTTTGTTTGTCATCCGATTGAGTGCGAGAACAACAAAGTGCCAAATTTTTCAGGATATCTCAACCATACAAAAGTTGTGTGTGCTACCCAAGGCCACCCAAGGCGAAACCACCTGATTCGATTCCCACGAGACAGATATCTAGGTGGTCTCCAGAGGCGGTTTGTTTTCCCTAGCTACCTCCATAGCTTCATTATCTCCGTATACCCCCAAGTCTTTCTCATTTTATCTGATCAAGTCAGACAGAAGGGAGGAAACCAAACCAAACCAAATCAAATCAAGGTGCCACAAGTTCCAATTATTTTTCTTCGGTCTTCTATCCATCCATCAGTACCCATAACAACCCCTGTATACCCCCACTCCATCTATCTGATAATCAATCATGTCCTCCTCTGAAGACGATTTTGAAGCCCGGCAACAGGCGGCGCGCGAACGAGTTCTTGCCTTTGAACGAGTGCAGGCGGAAAAGAAGAAACAAAAACAAGATGCCGCCCTTCAAGCGCATTATGAAGCCATTGAAAAGAAACGGCAAACCACCATTGCCCAAGTGGAAGCGTTCCATGACAGTCAATCCAGCTTTGCCGGAGTGGATCCCAATGATTTGGTCATGTATTCGCCAGAACAAGACGAACCATCCGAAAATTCTGCCAAGCAAGAAGAAGAAGATCCCCTGCAATCTACTACAAATACCACAACTGCTGCTGCTTCCAGCAATACTAATACTAAAACGCCAGAAGCAATAAAGGCGGAACAATCAAAGGCATTGGCAGCCAAATTGGCCCAAGAAGATGAAGAGCGGCGGGCCAAAATTCAGCTCGTCCAAGAACAATCCAAACTCTCGGCCGAAGAGCGTCTCAAAGCGCGGGAACGGTTGCGAGAACAGCAACGATTGGAACAACAGCGCCTGGCGGATGAACAAATCAATCAAACCAAGGCACACATGCAAGAATTGGCACGCATTGCACAGGAACAACAAGAACGATTAATGGCATTGCAACGCAAAGCGGCCCCGGCTGTGGAACAAGCAGGCGAAAGTGACGACAATGCGTTGGAACCCCGCGGCAAGCGAAAGTCGACCCATGTCAAGGTCAAACAACAACGAGCGTCGGATGACGATTGGGATGCCGATAATGTTTCCGTCAATAGTCGATCTTCCATTACCGAAACCAAAGAACGAACGCTTAAAAAAATGGCACGTGCCCAGAAAACAAAGGACATGGCAGCCATTGAGGAGCACGAAGAATCCAGTAGTCACAACCACAATGAAGATTTTTCCACTCCAAAATTCCGAAAATACAAGGGAAAACGACATTCTACGTATATTGATGCCAATCGAGGAGGAAGCAGTGGATCACTCCCCGATATGGATTGGCAAGATCCTGTGGCTGTTATGGAACAGGATTATTCAAGTCGATCGGAAATGGCCAGTTTCAGTAGCATAAACGAGGAGGATATTGCTGGTGGTGGCGAGGGTGTGTTCGTGTCCACTCCAAAATTCCGAAAACACAAGGGAAAACGACACTCTACATATGTGGATGCTTCCAGAGGATCAAGCAGCAGCAAAGGAGGATTAGTGGAACCGGATATGGATTGGCAAGACCCCGTTGCCATTACTACCCGTGGTAGTTTGAAAGAACAAGATTTCTCCAAATTGGGGGGAGCCAGTCTCAGCCACATTCAGGATGTGCAAGTCAGAGATGTGGACTTGTCCACCCCAAAATTCCGAAAATACAAGGGAAAACGACATTCTACATATGTGGACACTGGCAGAGCAAGTAGCAAAGGCTCAGCACCGGATATGAATTGGCAAAATCCCGAGGCAATTTCCAGTGAGTTTAGCGAGTTGCAAGAATATGCCAAGAAATTGCGGGCGCAGCAAGAGGCAGAATGGAATAACGACGATGATGACGATGATGACGACGAAGAGGTCAACATGGAACAAGATGAAAGCAAGCGCAGCGTCAAAAAATCCTCTTCGAAACGAGGAGGGAGGAGAGCCCCGCCTCGCAGACAACGGTCGTCGTCGTTGGGTGCAATGAATCGTGCAGCGGGTGGACTGCAGCGGTCAAAGTCGAGTGATGAAACTGATCCAAGTCCCTCTCCAGACTTTAATTGGAGCAGTTTTGGCAACAAACCCGACAAGAAACAGAAAGGTCTCAAACGAAATTCCACTGCTATTGGCATGACGTCTCCCAAAAAGGAACGTGCTGGACGACGAAGTACGATGGCTGTGGCATCCACAGCGCCCACTTCGCGAGGACGACGAAACACCACAATCGGCACGGCACCCACACGAGGAATCACACGACAACGATCGTCCTCCTTGTCAGACATGAAACGAGGACGCGGCCGTAAAAAGAGCAAGGAACGCAGCGATCGTGGACGGAGCAAAAGTGCGAGTGCTCGTAGCAGGAGTCGCAGTGAATCCAGAAATCGTCGCAAGTCGACCAAGTCCAAAAATAAAGACACTTCGCCGTCGAAAGACAAGGCCACTCCCAAGCGAGGTTTAACACGACAACGATCTTCGTCCTTGTCCGAGCTACGTCCAGGGCGTCGCGGTGGAGATTCGACCCGGTCAAGGAGCCCAAGCGCCGATAGTCGCAAAGGCAAAGACAAGAAGGACAAGGATAAACGCAAGTCAGTACGTCGGCGTGACCGCAGTCGAAGCATCAGTGTGGGTCGCAAAGGCAGTGGTGGCAGTAAAGACAAAGACAACAATAGTAGCAAATCTTCCCTGGATGGTGTTCTTTCCTCTCCTAAGAAAAGCAAAAGCAAGGGAGACAAAAACGATGCACCGAAGCGACGCGGTATCACTCGACAAAGATCATCGTCCTTATCGGAACTGCGAAATCATCGTCGGGACCGAAAATCGAAGGATGATGTTGAGAACGATGCTCCAGAATACGACCCGACAATCAGAAATGATGAGAATGTGCCAAAAACAGCAATCTTCGATTGGATCTCACACAGTAAGGATGCCATAGGCCGGTTGGAATCGAAAAAGGCGGCTCTTGAAGAACGCCGTAAGAAAAAGAAGCTCCAGCGAAAAGCGTTGCGAGCTCTAGAGAAGCTCAAGAAAAAGGAAAGGAGCCAGAATAGCATGGACGAATCAATCAATTTGGATTCCTTGCTCTACCTTGGTGAAGACGGAGATTATGCTGGGAATGAACCTAGTTTCGATATGAGTGCCACCGGTAGGCCCAATAAGCTTCTGGGAGGTTCTGAAGAAGACGAAGAAGAACCACCAGACCCTGACTTCGACTTTAGTGCAACTGGTAAACCTCAGCTGCCAGGTGTTCCTCCAAACGACAACAAGGACCCAACAAACCCCGTTGAGGATGACGAGGAGGAATGGGATGAGGCGTGGGACGACGAAGCGGAGTGGGAAGACGGAGCCGACTGGGACGATGGTGACTGGGATGAGGACGAACATGAAGAGGACAGTTCCCCTGTTGTGGATGGCCCCGATGATGCGAAACTGCAGGAAATGGCAAACGCCGAGAACTTGACGACAGCAGCCGACGCAACGGATCAAGAGCAAAAGGCGGACAATCGAGCTCTCAGCGAGAAGGAGAAGTCAGACGCGCCAACGTTGCAGGCAGCGGAGGAGAATCGTTCTTCAGAAGTGCCGAGCGAGAGCAGCGATGGCGGAATTGATGGAAAAGAGGAAGCATCAAGCCCAGCCACGCCCGAGAGTAAAGGGCCGGAATCTGAAACCAAAACACCACCGACAGATGTGTCTACAACAGAGACAAATGTCGTGACATCCAGTGATGCAGAACCGACCAAAGCGGAATGCAAAGAATCAGACGCCACCAGCAAAACAGACTCAGGAACTGGAAAGGACGACGAGGGAAAAGACGCCGATGAGCATGTACAAACTGAAGAGGAGACCAGCAGCAAGGACAAAAGCGCGCCTTCTCCTGCCGAGAACCCGAAACCAAGTGATCAGAAAGCCAACGGTGAAGGAAATAAAGCAAGCGATACGTCCAAGAAGGAGGTTTCTACTGTTGACAAGAAAGTCGATCTTAACACCAAAGCGAACACTGGAACCAAGAAAGCAGCAAAACCTAATGCCCAGCAGGCAAAAGCAAAGGTCCCGCCAAAGAAGCAAGCTCCAAAGGCAGCCGCCAAGCCAAACAACCAGGCGGCAAAGAAAACCGATAACGCACAGACGGAGACCAAGCCAAACGACCAACAAGCAAGCGCAAAAAGCGATCCGAAGAAAGGTGCTCAAACCACACCAAACAACCAGGCAAAAGCAAAGATCCTTCCAAAGAAGGGCGCCCAGAATGTCGCAAAGCCAAATAACCAGCAGGCGAAAGCAAGTGCAAACAGCCCCCCACAGAAGGCAGTGACGAAGGCCACGCCAAAGAAAGCTGTTGACACAAAGACAAACAAACAACCGGCTAAGGCAAATGCAGATTCGTCGAAGGAGCCGCAGGCGTTGGCGAAGAACAATCAGGTGCAGGGTTCACCCAAGGGTTCTCCCAAGGGTTCTCCCAAGGGTTCACCCAAGGCTGCAGCAAAGAATGAAAGCCCAACTGCACCGAAAAAGGCAGCGCCACAAGCAAACCCGCCGCCTCCTAAGGCTGGAGTACAAAAAGGAAGCACTAAAGGAAAGCCGACGTCGGCAACTGCGGTTCCTCCAACGAAACTGGGAAGTCAAGTACCAGTAAAACCGGCTACTGCTGCTGCGGAGAACAAAAAGGGAGCTGCCCCTCACAGAAAGTCGGCCGAACACACGGGGACGGCCAAAGCCAACGCTGCTCCGGTTGCCCCTCGCAGAAACTCGGCCGAACACACGCCAACAGCAGAAGATTCTGATGTCAAGGAAAGCAAGAAGGACACGCCGTTGTCGCCAAAGAGAGCTTCCCAGAAACCGTTGCAGCAGGCTCAAGAGCAAGCCCAAGAGCAAGCACCAGCAGTGGACGAAAGTCAAAATGCAGATGGAGGCAAAAAGCGTGGAAGCATATTCGGCAAGGTCGTGAAGGGTACAAAGAATCTGATCAAGGGAAAGCGCTCGTCTGTCGTGCCCAACAAGAGCGAAGACAGTGAAGGAAAGGACGACGCAGATCCGGCGAAGACACCTTCGGAAAAGACCGAACCAGCTGACAAGAAGAAAATGCCCCCCCGCAAGCCATCGAGGGGACAAACTTCTGCTGTCACAAAGGACGACGGTAAAGCAGGAAAGGACCTGGCAGCGGCGTCAGCGTCGAAGGCATCGGCAGAAATGCCCGGAGAGAACAAAAAGGTCGCAAAGACGATGCCTCCACGCAAGCCATCGAAGGGGCAGATCCCCGGAAAGAAGCCTGAGAAGGGAGCAGAAGGTCCTCCGAAGAACCCTGTTCAGAGTCCGGAGACGGAGACAGCTGATTCCAAAAAGGAATCAACGACCAAGCAAATACCACAGAAGGGAGCCGCGAAGCAACAGAAAGCCTCACCGCCAGGGGAAGCTCCCAGCAAAAAGGCACAAGCTGCCAAGAAGGCGCCGATTCAGAAAGGTGCCAAGAAACCACCTGTCCAAAACAAAGGACAAGGTAGGCCCACAGCTGCCAAGACAGCCGCCAAGACACCAGCGGACGAGCCGAAGCGAGGTGTCACCCGTGAGGGACTTTCGGACATGGTGCGAGGGAAGATTCGCAAGGGCTTGGAGCCCAAAGCAAAGAAACCACCTACCATGCCTGCCGTACCGCAAGCCGCCAGCCTTGAAGATGAGGACGAAGAAGACTACTCGGAAAGTCCCCTACGAACGTTTGATACTTATGAGGATGAGCTCACTTTGGAGCAGTTGCGGGCCAAGGTTGCCAAACTCGAGAAGCAACTCAAGAATGCTGAAGCGGCAGAAACCCGTGACGTTGAAGAAGTGGTACAGTCAGGACGTGTCATGTACGAAAAGATATCGAAGAAGGCCGAGAATGTCTCCAACCTTCCTGATGATACGAGCCAACTCGACCAGGTTCTTCAGCGTAACAACGAGATCGTGAAATACTTGAAGGAAGAAAACCAGAAGCGTCGTGACGAAAACCAAAAGATCAAGACCGAGTTCTTCGACCTACACCAAAATACACTGCGGCTGGAGAAAGCAACGGGACAGACGCTGGGATACCTGGAAAAGTTGGAAGACGTCTACTACCAGCGAGAGTTGGACAAGAGACGAACTCTGCTGGCAGGTTTGACAGCGTGTAAAGAAGCAGAGGACAAGTATACCAACGAGTGGGAACGTCGAACTAGTCATTGCGACGTTCAGAAACGAATTCGGACTTCATATGAAGATCACATCAAAAGACTTGTGACGAAGGTTGAAGACAGATATCCCGATGGAGCCTTTGTCGAGCGTATCCAAGATATCGCCGCGGGAAAACGCGACGAGGATTTTGCGAACAAGACCTTCATTGAGATTATGGAAGAAATAGCTGAAAGAAAACGAGTGACCGACGGGCAAAAGAACACGTCTGATCAGGCAACAACGAGTGCTGCGGAACAAGGCAAAGACGGCGAGGATGATGCACTGGCGAACCTTGCCCCTGACGAACAGGAACGAGCCAACCTCCTCATGGCGAATATGGCCAGCCCAATTCAGAACTCACAAAGCGACATGAATGTTGATGTAAAGGTAGAATCGTAACGAAACTTAATACATTAGTTGTAACATTAGTTGTGAAGATATTGCCAATAGCTCGCTTACTGGCAGCAGCCTACAAGGGTGCAGTCTGCATGGATTTCTGTGAACCCCTCTTGGACAGCACCACACAAGGACTCTGGCACATTGCCCGTGACAGCTGTATCGGACACATCCAAACGAGACAAGTGACTCAGATCTCCCAACTCTTCTGGTATGGATCCTGTCAATGCCTGATTGCCTGCGACATCAATTTCCAGCAGCTTGGGGAGAGTGGCCAGCTGGGATGGGATGGTGCCTTCAAAGTCGTTGTACCCGTAACCAAAGTAGGTCAGGTTCTTGCAGGACCCCACTGTCGCAGGAATCTCGCCGGAGAAAAGGTTATCAGTAATGTTGACAACCTCCAGGTGAGGGAGCACGGAGTAGAGAGGTGCATGGTAGCCATACAACTTGTTTCCATCCAGTTTGACCACTCGGACATCAAAGGCTGCAAACCCGCCTTCTCCGACGAGCGGTCCTTCAAAGTGATTTCGCGAAATGATAAAGACCTCCACGTTGGGACTGGCAGCGGTGGGCACAGCACCATGAATGTTGTTGTCACTGATATCATAGGTCCGGAGAGTGGCGACAAAGTTCTTGACCAATGGAAATGTGCCTTGGAGGTTGTTGGAGGCCAAGTTGAGCTTGAGCAAGTTGGACTCTTCATCGCAAATGTCATAGTGCTCATCGTACTGGGGAATGCTGGGGTTGTGGCTCTGTGAGAACCACTCGCATTCCGAGACTTGATAGCTCAACCAGTGATCATTTCGATACCAGTTGTTTCCGTTGGTAGAATAGTAAAAGGAAGCCAGGTGGAAGCGTTGAAGTCTGCGTTCCGGAGAGTAGCTATCAAAATGAGGGTCATTCAGCACCCAGTTGTTGGCAAAACAATGGGGATGCTTGGGATCGGAAAGGAACCGGACAGTGGCAAGGGGAATGCCTTCTTGAAAGGGTGGTTTGACAGGACAGTCTTGAGGAGGAGCGCCAGGACCTTGGCTCCAAGGCGAGGCTTCAGGACTGGTGCTGTCGCTGTGCCTGCATCCGGGGACCACCACCACCAGCGTCACAATCAGCACAATCAGCAGCAGCAAGAAGGCGGCGAACATCCATAACCACGCCTTCCAGGATCCTTGGGGTTCTTCTTCGTCGTGTTTGCCATGGAGGATCTTGGCGTCAATCACTTCTTCTTCCGCAAAGGGTCTCATTCCTCCGTTCTCGAGATCTGTAAAGTGGGTACTACTGGGGTCGTCGCAGCCAAACATCCCCGAAGCATGAACGGAAAAGTGTGCCGAATCCTGCACGGCATCTACGACTTGTACATCATGAATGACACTCTCTTGCTCCTCCACCACGGTCGTTTGGGTCCTTTGCTGCGACTGAAGCGATTCTTGAGCTCTCAACAAGAGCATGGGAGGAGGAGACGAACTGCCCGGCATAGCGTGGGCCCCCGGGCCTCTGGGACGAGAGGCAGCGGACGTTGTGGGCAAAGGTTGAACTTCGCTGACAAACAAGTCGGTGAGTGCGTTGTCACCATTTTGGTTCACTCTGGTGATGGCAGGGCTCTGCTCTTTGCCCCGCTTCTGGTTCTTCTGGAGGGTATCTTGGAGCTCGTGTTCGTGCTGCGTTGCCTTGTAAGAAGCCTTCTCGTCGTCAGTGCCGGCATGGTCCAGCGTGGCCTGGGCCGTCGTCTTTTGGGGGTAGCTTGGACCACCATTGGCTTGATGGTCAGGAGAGGCGCTGGCTGCGTCAGGAAACTCCGTCTGATCATGAGAAGTGATACAAGCATTAGCCTTCTGATCGTCTTTTGCATTGCCTATTTTGCCTTCCTCGGCGATATCGGCACAAGATCCATTGCGGATGCTAGCACAAGCAGGCACTTCCTCTTGTGATTCCTCTTGGCAATAGACCGTCTCTGAGAGACCAGAAGCAACATCGTCTACGTCTACTTCTTCCGTCGTCATGTTGGTACCGGAATCGCAGATAGATAGATAGATAAATGAAAATTAAGCTATTCCAAGGCTAAGAGGTGGTTGTGATGAGGTAGGTAGGTGTAGGGAGGGACAAACAGGGCAGCGAACAGTGAATGGAAGAGCCTCGGACTTTTTGCGGTGGCAATCGGCGTTTTTTGAAAGCGGGAAGATCGAATGAGAAACAGAAAAACGAAGACGCGAATAACGATGCTCCCCTTGGGTGTCATCAACACTTAAAGGTACGTCACTCAGTGGAAAACGGCTCTGGTATTATAAAAGGTACATGCACAGATTGGCTGGTACTTATGGACGTAATCGATCGATTCGAATAAGTTTGGTAATTGTAAGCTCTCTGGGCTTTTTCTAAAATAATAATGCCTTACTAGCTAGTAGTGCATTGTGGCCATCTTGGTTGGTATTTACTGTTTATTCCTTACTGCCATGAGGTCAGTAAAAGGAGCAGTAATGGCAGTAATGCAGTAATTCCTCAGTAGCAGTAATTATGCACAGTAATTTAAAGCCAATTGAAGGCAGTAAACTACAGTAATTGCACTAATAAAGGCTAATTACTGTGCTTTTACTGTCATTTACTGGATATTACTGTTGCAAAGGCAGATTACTTACTGCATGGGATTACTTACTGCAGTAATTATGTGGCCAACAATGGCAGTAATTGGACAGTAAGGAGCCAGTAACCCGGATTTACTGCAGTAAATACCAACCAAGGTGGCCATTGTGGCTCAATGTTCTATAATTCTACACTAGGTCTTCCGTAGTGCTCTTCTGATCGTTGTGTCTTTGGTGACAGTTCTTTTCATCTGAGTATCAGGAATAGAGTAGTATGTAATGCCCAATGACTTGATATGACTTATTATGAAGCCTATCACTATTAATAAGCAATTCTTCATCAACCTGGTGTTAAATACTCTGAGTAGGATTAATAAGTGAGGAGATACACTCTCTGGTATGGGGAACCGACCTAAACAAATAAATAAACAAAAACAGCTCAAGTACTTGCTTGTGCCTTGTGCCTACTGAGTAGTTGCCAACGATTGTTCCTTGAGAAACGTTCGTTGATCTTGAATTCTTGAATCGAATCATTCAATCGAAGCGGTACCGGTACAGGAGTCGACAACACTGCGAGTAACCGGTGACCGCGCTCAGACGCTTTATCAAAAAATGCAGCAAAAAGTGAGATGCTAAATATTTGACAAAAATGCAACTTGGTTGCTGTGTTTGTTTCCGTGATGCCCTCAAACCTACGAACTTCTCATCCAATATCGTCGCTTCCTTGCCTGTTTCAACACCAGCAGTAACCTGGCTTGTGCAGCATCCTCAGCTTCTCTTTGTTTAGTTGCATGTTGCATGAGAGCTCTCATGAGCTATTCCTAAATAATCGTTGACTGGGGATCCTCACTACAATGATAGAAGTGGCAGGATGCATGTTGCGAACCCAAAACTCTCTTTTCAAGCTGTGGCTGGCTGCTAAAAGCCATTAATAGAAGCCCATGCACCTAGCTAGCTAGCCCCAGCATGCACCCTGGCTAGTATAGCCCCGGAGTGCCCTGGAAGATTCTCTTGCACTTCGCATTTTTCGTGACCACGATTTAGCGTCCAATTCCCTTCCTTTTGGGTTCCGAGCATTTGACACCTCCCTTTTGGAAGAACACAGTGCCTATCTACTGTAACACCTACTCAGTAGCTAGCTAGCTTGATAGATGGTGAAAACCACAGTCTTGTCACCTGGGGGGGATGAAAGAAAAGCCAATGCAAGCAAGCTAGTTTTGTGCTGCAGCTGTCCCCAATGATGAGCACGAACCGCTGGGCAACCCATCCCAAAATCAATCAAATGCTTGCAGGCTTTCGGGTCACGGAACCACCTTGCATAAGTTTCTGGAACTTTAGAAATGTACAAGCCATAGCATCTGAGTTCGCTCCTCCACTACAAAGGCTCACAATCCAACATAGACAACATCTCAAAACAATCAAAGCAAACCACCACACCACCACACCACCACCACCCCACCACCACCACCACCACCACCACCACCACCACCACCACCACCACCACCACCACCACCACCAAAAACAACAACAACAACCACAGCATCTGGCAAAATGAAGTTCTCTTCTGCCTGCCTTATCTGCAGTCCTCGCACTTCCTTCTGTGTAAGGTTTCCCAGTACAAGCTTAGTACATCTAAGCCAAGGTTTGACCCAAAATGCCCCATCTGTGGAAGAAAACAACCACCATGAGAGGTTTCTTTGGGACAGTTTTCTACAGAGATCAACAGGCAATCAAGACCAAAGCAGCAGATTATCTTATTACACTGGAAGAACACCTGGAGCAGGTATCCAAAGAGTAAACAGATGACATGATCACTGCATTGCCTGGACGATGCAGCAATCAATCCCCAGAGGAATTGTGGTTGGAGAGCGTTTTGGTGGTTATCAACATTTAGGAGCTCAAAATTCAAATTAGGAGACCGTTTAGGAGATTATCAAAATTAGGAGACCAATTTTGGAGACCAAAGTCAAAAGTAGGAGATTTGTACATGTATGTGGTTTGTAGGTCAAAATAGGAGATTGAATATGAGATCAAAACTCGAATTAGGAGACTGTTTAGGAGATTATCAAGATTTAGTAATTTGAAATTAGGAGACCGTTTTGGAGATTATCAAAATTTTGGAGACTGTTCCTCACTTTTTACTTATTGCCGCATCGTCCTGCTGGATGTTGTTACCTTACTTGATGGTCATTGGGACTTTGATGAAGAAGCTGCAAAAGATGCACCCATGGAAGAAGTCTCATCCGCTTTGGAAACTGAGGCAGCCAGCTGCTGTAGTTGAAGCACATGACCCTGCTGGAGACGAAGCAGTGTTGCTGAGGAACTTTTGGAATGCCTTCACTGCCCAGGAACCAAAAAGCAAACAAGATTGAAACTTTTAATAGATGCCATGCAAACTTTACATTCTGCTCAATGAGAGCCCAGAATCATGCAGCCAGCATCAATTTAGTACATGTAGTGTTTTAAAAAGGTCACATTGGAATTGCAGGAGTACTTTATCACCCTTCCCAGCGTGCAGCAGGAACACTCCCACTCATTGTATCAATTCTTTGTCCCACCGGCATGATGTTTTCCGATTGTGAGTCAAATCGTCCAAAATGGACTGATTTTACTTTTTTGTCGAAAGGGACATATAATTTCTGTTTTCAACCTTTTTTGGATCTTCCGTTGGCTGATCCAGCCGTTCCCACGTTCCCACAGAGCTACAGGCAGCTTCGATTTTATTGATTCAAACGCGCGCCACACTTTTCAGTACACTTCTACACGAGCTCTCGTAGAAATGTACCAGAAATGCCGGCACGCGTTTGAATCAATAAAATCGAAGCTGCTCGTACCGGTACCGTGCCAGGAAGTCCCCGATGACGTCACTTTAGCGACTTGCGCGAGCCAAGCGCGGTTTCCAAGTCGCGATTCTAAATCGCGACTAGCAGCAATAAATCGCGACTTGCAGCGTGGATTTCGCGACTAGCGCGACTTGGTGCGACTTTACCTGCTTTTTACTTGTACAAAATCGCGACTTGGAACGACTTGAATCGCGACTTGCGCGAGTCTGTGCGACTTTGCGCGACTTCAACCACTTTTCGCGACTTCCACGATCACCAATCGGGGGAATTCCAGGTACGACTGTATTCAAGTTGAGCGCAGAGCAACGCAGGCGACAACGCCTCCTTTGAAGAACAATTGTACTCAGTATCATAATCTTCCTCGAAGCTGGTATCTCTGGTACCTGGTATACCGGTATCATGTATCATACAATGGCTGCATTGATGCATTGACAGAAGGCGCAGAATGGAGCCGTCCACGTCTCTCCACTTGTCAATTTGCTATTTTGCTAAGTATCACCACCACTCACAACCATGGCTAAACCAACGCATCGCCGAAGCCAAAGATGCCTATTTGTGGAAAAGAATCCAGCTCCGGCCAACCATGGAAGCAGAGACAGTGAAGATCGTTTCCTTGCTACGGAGTCCTCTACTGCACTAGTAGCTAATCAGCAGCTGGTAGTGAACAGAAGATCCAAAACGCCTCATCTTTTCCCCTTCTTGGAGAAAAAGCAGAGGGATCATGATGAGATGGCCTGTCTCCACCTTATTTGCACTGGCCAGTTTTCTGACAACGGCACTTTTGATACTCCCAGCAAATGCCATCAACTTAGCACGTGGTGCAGACGAGCTAGTGTCTGAACAGGACCTATCAACCTTTTTGGCTCAGGAAGAACTTCCACTGCCCTTGCAGGACGAACGAAAACTTGGAAGTGGGCAAAGCATTGGAGAAAAATGTGGGAAAAATAGTCCCTGCCAGGATGGGTTGCAGTGTACTCCCATCACTGTAGGGAATCGTTGCGTTCCGGTCGAATGCTTGTCAACTGAGTACAACGGCACGTTAGGTGCTCTTGATATGGTCGCATACAACGATCTCGTCTACCAGCAAGCCGGGATAACTGAACAGCAATTTGTTGAAGCCTTTCGAGACGCGGACAACCAGAGAGCCTTTGTCGACTCAGATGAGTTTCGGGCGTTCTCACGGGCAATGCGGAGCAACACTGGACCTTTGGAGGCTATGCAAGAGCTGCACAAACGATGCAATGCTGGACGACAAACTTCGATTGACACAACCTACTTTGGAATCAATATAGAAGCAGGTGCATTTGTTGACTTCAACTTTCAATTTTTGTTTGCCGAACGGGATGGTCAGTCAGGTCTGTACATTCGAACCTGCTTGGGGGGCGGGCCTGAAATTGGCTTTGATGTTTCCTATGTGACAGGAGCTGCTGTTGGGACAGGCAGTGGAGCAGAACTGGCCTGTGTGTTTTGTTGGCTGGATCTGGACTTGGGCGTGGGCCTGAGCGGTGGCGTTGCCATTGGTAAGTGACTGTGTGAGCACCCAAGCGTCGGCTTGCTGCTACTAATACAACAAGGCCCTCACCTGGATTTACCAACATCATCGTTTGACCCCAACTTCAGGAATTGGATTCAATGGAATCTTTCAGTATGAATTCACTATTGGTATTGGCTTTGGAGGTGGACTCGGCACCAGTCTTTGCAGTGGTTGGGCTATATTTGAACAAATTGACCCGACGGAGCCGCCTGAAGAGCAGCCTCCGGAGCGCTTCTAACCCATTCCTACATGTACCATACGACACTAGACACTGAATTCCATCCTCATGTAGCTATGTCGCCGCCGATGCACGGCCGGTGCTTCTGCTGCTGGCCGGTAAACTACTTTAGAATGTTGTGGGGGACCCGGTTCCTGACGACAGCAAAACCTTCATTTCGAAGCTTTTCACAGTGCTACAGTAGCCCCATAGCCACCCCTGCCAGAACCGTATCTGCTGTAGAAGAATACAGGAGCCGAGCAAGGTAGCAATAAAGCCCTGAAGCTGGACCGGAACGGTATTGAATACTCCCGCTGCGAGATAGCTATAGACTTCCTCCTGGGACCTATTTTGTCTTCCACTGTAAGCGGAAGACATGTTAACTTAGGAATTACAAAGTCCCCAGAGCCCCGGAGGGATTAAGTTCTATAATTATTAGACTGTAAGCGGAAGACAACAAAGAGGGGGATCGTTTGGCTCGGTGAGGCGGTGAGGCAAGCCAATGAAGTCGAAAGAAGCCAATCTCAGGCTAGCTAGTGAAGCATGGCAGTACCGTACTAGTAGATCACTGACCGGTCATGACGCCTATGCATGGACTGACCTCCTACAGTGCTGCCGTGAGAATTCGCGAACCAGCCAAGCTGTTGCAGCTGGCCAAAGACATGATTCAAGCATGACGCAACTGCAGAAGACTGCTGGGATAGCATTGCGGAAGCTCAACGGCAGCATCAGCTTGGCTGTGCACGAGAGGCGAGAGCAAGTGAGTCTATGTAAGAGAACCGTCGGTGTTAGAAGATGGCCGGAGCCACATCATTGGAACAATAGGGAAACACTTTGTTTTCAATGTGCTGATGTTCTGATGCTTGCCTCTTGCCTGCGAGGTTCTTTTAATTTCTAATTTGTTTCACACAAGACTACGTCCTTATCGGTGTGGTACCGACCAGCACATGTGCATGAAACTTGAAACAGCCCCGATCCCTCCACCCCCCGCTGCACTGCCAGCCGGGATCGATTAATTAGTCTACCGGGGAAGTTCCAGCTGCGGGCGGATTGAGGAGCCTCCGCCAGGAAGCTTCCTTTCAAGACTTACAGTCATCCCAAAAAGTCTCTGCGCTTATCACAGCCCTTCAAAGCTTTCACAGATCCCAGTAGCCCAGCGGTAAGTGGTGTGCAAGCTAATACAACAAAAGCTTGAGAGCACGCAACTCTTTTTCATAGAATATTCATCCACACATCCTCACGAGCCTAAAGGCTGTTGTACATCTACGGCATGCAGTCAAGGACGGTGCCTTAATGGTAGTGGTGAACCTATTCGGATACTATTAAATAGTTAGTCTAGGATAGCCTTAGGTCATCGTCGTCCACAAATAATAGTGAGTTGTTGGCCGAATGAGTGGTTTCCATGGTGCTGAAACAAAGGAATATCCAAGAGCACGATTGAAGCGGAAGGTTGAACAACAATGTTCCAGCGTCCATTCCGCCCACGCCCACCGCAATGCTTTTTATGTCATACCTTTTACCGTTGACTAAATGTTATGCTTTCTACGTACGGTACGTTATACCGGTACGATGCAGCTTTCTTACAGCGTGTTGAAGATATCATTACCTCTAACGCTAATGTTGGACTCCTTTTCAATCGAACAACAATGAAGTTGTTCCCCCGAAGTCTGAAACGTCACCTCTCGCTCCAAAGGCGATACGAACCCACAGGAAAGCACCGAGACATCGACACGACCTCTTGTGTCTGTCCCCTCTTTCCCACAAAAAACCGAACAACTCAGCAGCAAAGCGCGTTTTGGATTGCAGCAACAGTTTGAGTGCATTATTATTTGTAGTAGAAGCATAGATCGAAGATGATAAGCGACAATATTGACAACAGTGATCACCATGTTACCGCGCTGCTTCGTTCAGTGGCGTTGAAGGGAGGAGGCCCCTCTTCACGGTTGCAACCTGCGCTCCTCCGACGTGCCTCCTCCAACGAGCCTGATAACTTGGCGAAAGCGCTCAAAGAGAATAATGCCAACGACAATGCCCCTCAGTCTCTGGCGGTGACCTGTCTCTGCCATGAGCATATCATTCAAGAGGAATACCTCCAAGACTTTCTCCGCTGGTCCAACCATCAGACCGTGCCTCTTCTGCCCAAGGTAACGCACGACTGTCCGCTCATGCCAACCAGCGTTACTCTGAAGGACGTGGGGATTCAGTGCATCACCGAGAGCATTGCCAATTGCCTGCATCGACTCCACGATAGGAACATTCTGTTTGCCTACAAGGCCGACCCGGACCATGCGGGTAGAATCGAGATTTGCAGCATGCAGTGCAAGCTCAAGTTTGTCATTCAGCTATGGCAACGACCGCAACTCGAGGGACCTTCGGCGGTCGTTGTGGAACTGCAGCGCCGACGTGGTTGCCCTATCTTCATGCATCACCTAAGGCGCCCTTTGTTCAAAGCTCTCAAAGCCCTCAGCAAGGAACCCTTGAAGAGGACACTGTCCTGTCCAAGCCTCGCCCAGAACCTCGATAGTTTGGATGCACCAAACCACGGGCAAGCAGAAGACCTCGCGGCTTCACGGCGAAGCTCTTTGGGACATCCCCCAGTGAGATTTCCGCCGCCGCTACGAGTAAACTTTTCATAACTCTCTTGTTAACAATACTACTAGACTAGTACAGTGTCTACAGTACGGTAGTACCTAATACCTATGAAACAACGCAATGCCTTGCGCCACCATTGGTTGCTAGATCACGTAGTCAACAAACGGTATCTTTGCTGCTGTTGTGGTTGCTCCTCTGAGAAGTCCATCGAACAAAGGTATCTGACACCAGATGTAGTTGTTCGTTGGAAGCCACAGGGAGCCCTCATCCCTTCAATCGAACTGTCCTCTCAGTTAGTTGTTGCTTGCCTACGGTACCTGGTATTGGCACGGAGTGGGCACGTAGGCACACGAGGCCATAGCTTAGCGAGAACAGTTTCCCCGCTGTACCACCGAAGAACCTCTGCATTACACAACTTCCTGCCCGTTCTTTATTGATCTACGGTAGATCCGGCATCCATGACAGATGATGATAACAGCAACCCGAAGCTTCATAGAAATGCATTACTAATATGCATTAGAACAGTTAGCTATTAAGTAGACCTGCCTTTGGAATTGTCAGTCGTAAGCACCACAGTTTCAACCAGCTACGGGTCGGAACAGGTTCGGCGGGTGGCTCGGTTCCTCTCGCCTCTCGCAGACCTCAGTGCCAACAGTGTCTTCGTGTTCGGCTCATGTCGCTCTGGGTTCGATGGATTCCAAGATGCAGTCATGGTGTCAGTGGCAGGTTGAAGAACCCATGCATCATGCATGGCAGAATCACAGAAGTTAGGTGGCTGCACCCAAGGCCTGATGGCCTCCGACGAGCGAGCGAAACATGTGATCTGGCGACTGTGGTTGTTTGGATTATTAAAGCTACAGGTACAATGGCCAGTTCTTGGACCTCACTCTATTACCAATCTCTTTTCCTTTAGCCTACAGTGGCGAACAAACTGCTTCCATCCACTTCCTGCCTCTGACAGACAAGTGGCTGGTAGACTGCTGAACCAGGAGAGCACTTCATTTTTTCATGATTCTTGAGCAACCACTAAGGAATTGTCTAATGATTTGGAGTCTGTTCGAGGTCTGGCTCTGATTGAGACACACTGACCGTGGATGATGCGAGCAGCTGCGTCTCGGGTTCTGGTTTCTGTGCTGGGTTTGGTGACAGTTTCCGCAGGATTGTCAGCAATCCATTCTGGCTTTTTTCAAGTCTCTGCTTGTGCTAATCTACCCCCAATGCTAGCTATAGCTATCTAGGATATGTCTCGGTCGACTGTCAATGGATCGTTAAAGATAGATGGCGCCGGGTCCCATCCTCGATTGGTCTTTACCAGTTCACTGCATGGAGGTCGGAACGTCGAAACGTCGGAACGCTGGGAGGAGTGACGTTTCGCTGCGTGGGAATTCAATCATTCAATCATTCAATCATTCAATCATTCGTGCATTCCAGCATTCAGTATGGATCTTTGCCAGCACACAATCCCAAACTAAGGTCGTCTCGGAAGATAATATGGCAGATTCCAACAATGCCAGAAGAACCATGGAATTAGAGCTTGGAGATACCGATGAACTTCGCTCAGCAAAGGAAAGGCTGAAGAAAGCTCGACAAAGAGGAGGCAGCAACTTGATACTCAAAGTCACAAGTCATCGCTTCGCCGCCTGGGAAGACAGCTTTGCCCAGCACTTCTTTCAAGAGTTGAGCTCGACTCCTCAGCTGCAGCAGCTTGACATGGAGATAAGGATGCACAGCATCTCCAGCAGCTTAGTAGCTGCAACAATTCAGAATTCCCGAAACACCCTCCGAAGTCTAAAATTGTGCCGGAACACGTTTGTTGGTGAAGTAGGTGGTCTGTGTCAAGCTCTGCACCGCCATCCATCCCTAGAAACTGCGTGCTTGCGAGAAAACTGCTTCAAAGAGAACGAAACCATGCCTCATCAAAGGGAAAAATTGGTGGCGGTTGTGGATGCCCTGACCACCTGCTCTATGTTGCAATCGTTGGAACTCAAGACAGTTTCCAACCAAAACAAGAGCTTGACCAAACGAGGTGCCAAAATCCATGGGATTTCCGTGTCACGATTATGCTCCATGCCAAACTTGTCCCATGTATCTTTACAGATCAAACCATCCTCTCTTGTGCAAAGCATCTGCCATCAGTTGTGCGGCAACATCAGTGTGACCCAACTGGATGTGGATGTTTCCGTTTTCAAACACGACAAAATGATGCTGGCAGTGGAAGCGGTTGCCATGCTGGTGAGGGCAAATAGACCTGGATTGGAGAGTCTAGCTATTGGCGTCACCTGTGAAGGGGGTCTGTCTCCGATCATTCAGGCGTTGCATACCAATGACAGTCTCAAAACATTGAAAGTAGCCATGAACGGGATACGCCACTTTAGTTTTGGCATGCTGCCACAGCAAACTACCGATGCTATTTCCACAATGCTGCAACACAACTATGTGCTGGAGCAGATACAAGCATCAAACAGTAATGACGAAGCAACCGTAGATACTTGGAGTGACCCTTCAATTCCATTCTATCTGAAGCTCAACCGAGCCGGAAGGGGAAGACTCTTGCGTGGGGCGAGTTCCAGAGAGGATTGGATCGGGTGTTGCAAAGAGGATTGGATTGACACTATCATTGCGAATCGTGAGGATACAAGTGTGGTGTTTTACTTTTTGTCCAAGAATCCTTTGTTGCTATCAAGTGATGACGTCGGTAGTAGCACTGACAATACCGGTACAGAGGAACTGCAGGTACTAGCACGCCCCTTCAAGAGGCCAAGGCTGTTGGCCAGTCTTGACTAGGCACCTCTGCTGCACCAGTACCTCGATACAATACACTCAACATCTCCAAGTACGACAATCACATTGGAACATAGCAAAAGCGCTTTTTGTATCTTTTAGCCGGTAGCTGCAGTCTTATGTATGTAGGTAGGTAGAAACGAGGGTACAACAATTATCAAGATAGCCAACAACAGCAACACAAGAACGACAAGTTCACATAGAGCAAAACATGCAAGAAAGAAAGAACACGCATCTGTTCGTCCCTTCTATTCCTTCGTCTCTTCTAACCCCGCTATTTTTCTCATATCTCGTACCCACCACGCCATCAGCAAGGGACTGCCCACCAAGCCTATCATGGCGGCCAGTACAAGGACAATCTGCAGTGGGACATTGGCCGGTAGATTGGGATTCTCCAATCGCGCCGCGGCATCGACGCCCAACATGGTCCACAAGAGTGTAAAGGTCAATCCATGGAACATGGTGGCCCCTAAAAAGTTGCTGTAACTCAGGTGCATCAAACAACTGGATCCAAAGTTCTTGATCAATTCGGGAAAACAACTGAATTTCATCAGTAATGCCACCACCAGGGGCGAATGGACATCGGTGGATCGATTGACGACGTTCCAGACGGGATTCTGTTGTAACTGTTTTTGTACGAAACTCGACAAGAGTCCTCGTCCGAGTCCAAATGCGGCCGATGCCCCGAGTAGCTTTCCAACGCCACTGGCCAAAAAGGCACGATGGAATCCAAAGACCATGCCGGCAGCGGTTTCCACAGGGATGGTGGACAATCCGACCAATTCCCAGAGGGCCATGCCACCGGCGTAAATCGGGAGGCTCATGGGATTGGATTCCAAGTCTTTCAAGATGGTGAGTGTATGTTCTTGAATATATGCCTTGTCCAAGAAGGGTTTGACCGATTCCCAATTGTGATAGAGCAGCACCGAAGCTACCAGCAGAGCAAATGTTCCGGCAATGACTTTTTCCGAGACAATCAGTTTGGGAGCAGCCGCCGTGGATGCTTCCGGCTCTTTTGTTTTGTGAGCTCCTCCTCCTCGGAATTCCTCCACAAAGCTGTCGTCTTCTTGGATGGTACCGTGGATGTGGGTACCGGTATCACCAATTGCATTGGTCCCACCACGAAGGGACAAAAGAGCCGATTGTCGCGTGGGAAAAAAGCGTCGTGTCAAGGATAATGGTGGTCGATGGAACATTGGTGTTGTTCCGGAATCAGATTTTGCCACTGCTGGCAATGCTATCGCGAGCAAAAGGCAGAACCTCATCATTGTGGATCTGGCAATGGATGGACACATGGTTGTCTCACAGCGCGGGAAAGCTATAGAGCAGTTGGAACTAGCGGAGTTTTGGAGGCCCAGCTAAGGTGGCCTGAAAGAAAAGGCGGCTGGAGAGACCAACGGGACAAGCTCGATACAACCTTCTAAGTCAGCTGCCTTGGAAAGGATGCAATAAGGATGGCAATGGCAAAGCAGAAGGGATACTAGTATGTACCTTCGCTGGTCCATGGTTTGTTGGTTCATGGAGGGAAGGTATCCATCGCCAAATCTAATTGACACGCATGTCAACCCATTCCTGCACCGGTACCAACGTTAGGGTTAAGAGTAAACGAAATGAAACACGTCTGACACCGCAAGAACTCCGTTTTCAAAGATCATACGATTTTAGCAAAAAGTGACTGAATTAATTAATTAAAAGTAGTTTTATTCTTGAATCTTCGTCTCACTTTCAGTACCAGCTGTCTAATGATGACAACTTCACCGGTAAGCACGAACAATTCCGGCAACGATTGTGCCAAGACTATCAATTTCAATGAGAAGTCCATTGGTCGCCGCTCATGCTATGGTACCGGTAGCGGTACTAGCTATTAACCCTTAATAGCTGCCGGTAGCTACGGTACCTACCAGTAGCTACATGTAGTTCTTATGGGACATTGTAGAACGTCATTATTAATAGACATTGTGGGGAGTCTTGGAATTGGTCTTTCTACTCATTTACTATAAATGGAAATAGTACAAAATCGTGAACAAGAATCAACCTCGACGTAAGAACTTGGTGACAGACAGTCATTTGCGGTACCCCCTACCGTACCGGTACACTAGCTACTGTACCTGTAGCCGCTATTAATAAAATAGAAGCAAGTTTCTTCGGTGGCTCACACAAATAATATAAGTTCGTCCTACAAGCAACCGTCAACAACAAGTTCACAGTCTTCAATTTTCTGCCATGTTCCATTCTCAAAGTAAAGATGATATCCCTGTTGCTGTTGTTGCTGTTGTTGCTGCCGATCCCCCACGTGCTGGTTTCCAGATCGGCAAGAAATACTATGCGTGTGTTGAACAATTCCACGAGGTATTTGAGGCGGAGCTTCTTGGGTTCAAAGTCAAACCAGTCAACCATAATGAAACGGGAATTGTTGAAAACCTTTACCAATCGAAGGACACAGCCCAAACAGCCCTTCTTGTTATGAACCAGAATAAGCTCTCAGGAGGATTCGGGGCTCACAATCCGTCGACGGCGACAGAGGCTGGCAACAGCATTGCAAACAACACCACCATTGAAACGAAGCGATTCCCAAGCTCCTTTTTGTGGACATGCAGCAGGAGGATGAGGAAAAAGTTGCAGCTGCAGTTGCAAAGTTGGCTGACCTTCTTGATTCATCGAATGCGAATTGCAAAGTGAACGCTGATCAAGCTATTTCTTCGGGTGCCATTGCCATTGTCTTATTGTTGATGCGAAAGTGGCAATGTAACAGATCAATTCAATGTCATGGTTGCAAAGTTTTTGTGTGGTTGACCTACTTTGTTAATGATGATGAGAAAGCTAGAGCTACTGCTTCTGCAGTTTCTATTATCAAATCCGGAGGAATCGAGACGATAATGGCAGCCATGAAGTCATTTCCCGATGATGATGAAATCCAGCGTCAAGGCTGCAGAGCAATTGGCAATGCATTTTTCCATACTATTAATAACCCAACCATTGACAAAGCCATGGATCGCTTTGTTCATAAATTGAATGGAATTGAACTGGTTGTGACGGTTATGAAGAAATTTCAAAACAATGCTTTAGTGCAACATGGTGGTTGTTGGGTCTTGAAGCAGCTGTCGAGGAAACAAGTCCTACGCGATGCTTTGAAGAAACGGGGTGCCCTAAGTGCTGTTGGTGAGGCCGCTGAGAAACATGATGGCGACAAGGTCAAGTTATACGCCACTGTTTTTTTCAATAACATGTTTGGAAACAAATAATAACCGAGCTTTACTACAACAACAACCTTACCGATATCAATCAACCAAAGAATCCCGAATGGTCGGAAGGAGCAATGACAAGGAAGGCGGTGGGTGCATTTGATTTTCATTTGTGATGTTGAGACGTTCCAGGTTCCAGGTGCAGAAAGCTACGTTTAAAAAAATAAGCGCAGAATGCGGGGTACAGTGCTCCAGACTCCAGAGTGTCAGTCTGCCACTTCAATCAAAATCGCATCAACGATTGACACCGGTGCTGGTATGAATGACCCATGGTGTGCGCATGATTTAACAGACTCGTACGGGGTACTTCGATTTATCATACTCAGCAGGTCACAGTCGATGGCCAAACTCAACAACTCCCAACTTTCCGGGCGCTGAAAATTCTTGGAGAGACCGGAGAGATGAGGAGAATTGGGAGTTGGGAGAATACGGATAGTTCATCTTGAAGTATTCAAACAACCGAAAGTTACCACGAACTTAGTTCAGTCACATTTTGTCAAACGTTAAGGTTAAGAGTAAATGAAATGAAGCACGACTGACAGCGCAAGAACTCCGTGCAAAAGATCTTCGCTCACAAAACTTTTCCACACTCATTGATCAAGAAACTCCGGGTAGCGTGGAGAAGCAAAGTCGATTCCAAATAATCGTCCGCCATGGCCCACATCATCCAAGACGACGGCTTTGACGGCGGCAATGAGGATGCCCGCCCACTCTATGACGATGGCACCATGTTGGATATTAACTTTGGCAGCCTCCGGTTTTTGGTCGAAGGTGTGATGGAGACGTTGCTCTTTGTGCATCATCGGCCACAGAACCGTCTCATCCTTCGTTCCAGTTCCAGACAGTCCCATTTCTCTGGTTATAGCCCCGAAGAAGCAACACGGCTCATGACGGACTTGTTTTCACAGTTGTCCACTGGCTTTCGCTTCGAATCGATTCGACTTACGAACTTTTCGTTTGAGATTCCAATTCGTTCCTTGGCACAGCTAGTACAGCAATCCAAGTCCACGCTGCAACATTTGGCTCTGACAGACATGTTTCTGTCGGGGTTCGAGGAGGAAGCGTCGGTGCAAGCACTCCTTGCGGCTCTTAGCGATTTGCCAAACCTTGAGACCGTTCATTTGGTGGCAGGGGTTTCAATCGGTCGCAACCCGGCAGCTTTGAGAGTTCTCTACAACAGAATCGCTTGTGCGGTCGCATCTCAAGCAAGGCATCTTTCCATTGACCTTGTAGATCTGATTGACCCCGCCGAAATAATGAGACATTTTCCACCGTGGGCGTTCCTAGCACAAGACGGCAGTGATATCCTGGACGCCATGCACGAAACAGAACTTGAGTTTGTTCGGGCACTAGGAAGAGTGTTGGAACAACCAAATATTGTCCTAGAACAGTTGAATCTCTCTCTCTTTGACTTGAGATCCATCCAACCAGTTATGACGGCTCTGAAGGAAAACAGATCCCTCAAGGCCATTGCTTTCGGGCGTCACGGGGATGGCCCCCCACCAGATCTTTTCCCACCCCAATTTTTGCTTCCTCCCCTACCAGTAGCGGCAAGAATGCTATTGCCTGCTCCTCCGCCACCGCCGGGTCATCAGCCACCTCGGGGTCGTCAGCGACCGCAGAGGGGATTTTTGCCTCCACCTCCTCCCGGACCATTGCCTCCTCCACCACTGCCATTTCCTGCTCCTCAGCCGTCTCCGCCGTATCAGCAGTTGTTACCGGCTGCGCAAGCGGCACGGGACATGTTGATAAGCAATTGTATTGTCGAGCAAATCACTGTTGAGGGCAATCCAGACCAGCTCCTTGGTCCTTTCGGGCTCAACAACAATAGCAGAGTCGTCAGCTTTGCTGAGCTCCCGACCGTAGATGATCCATTGATAGCACTGTATCTAAAACTCAATCAAGCAGGCCGGCATCATTTGCTCGAGAGTGGACAAGCGACCCGTCAGGATTGGATTGACGCCATTAGCGACAATCGAGATGACACAAAGGTCGTCCACTACTTTCTTTCCCAAAATCCATCCCTGTGTGAGGCTGTCTGACAATTGAGACGCCAGTGGCTGATCACACAGCGGAGGAAGCAAAGCAAAGCAAACGAAACAAAACGATATCAGAAAACTCAGGGGCTATTATATTTCTGTCCAAGTCACCCCATGCGAGGTTCGACGTTTTATAAGCAACTTCAGGATGCGCGAGCACGTAGGAGACAATCCTCTATTGCAGGTAGACGATTAAACATGGTAGTCTAGTTTTTCTAGTAGCTACATGGTACCGTATTGGATATCCACACCTTTGCATTCCGCCCACAGCTGTCCACAGGGAGATGCTGCTTCGGTGGTTGGCGACGATGGTGGTTATCAAAGCAGGTTACCTTACTGTTGAGCCCGCGGTTGGAACCAATTGTATTCCAGCCATTCAATGATGCTGCAATTGGTGTCAAAGAAACAGAGTTGGCGCAGTTTTGAAGATCACGGTACGGTAAGGTACCATGGTACTAGCTACCTGGTCTAGCTAGTAGACAGACTCGACTCTGTAGCAACCGCAAGGCAATGCATATTGCTTTGGGTACCAGGTGTGGTACATTTCCGCAGGGGGGTGGCTCAAACCAACTGTTATTGTCTTGACCATAGGTCACTCGAGTTTTCCCGCATTCTTCGCCAAAAGGCAAGGCGGTGGAGGTCGGTAAGAGGTGGTAGAAGGTGGTAAAGCGTAACCAATGATGGTAAATGGAGGTAAACAGTCAGTAAAAAAGGCGGTTGAAGTCGGTCAAAAGCGGTTGAAGTCGGTCGAAGGCAGTTGGAGGTAAACCTTGCCCCCAAGGTGGTGGAGGGTGATGCCGGAAATGGTAAGTTGATTTGAGCCACCCCCCAGCTTGTTCAAGAAACTGCTTCCGAAAAGTCAAATCGTGCGGCAAAAGATCCGTGTCACTCAAGGAGCAAGGAGGAGCTTCCTAATGGTAGGAACGTACCTGGTACCGGTCACTGCACATCATTTCAAATCTCATAACCATCCTCGACCAAATTAATTGTTATAAGCACCATGACATACTCCTCCTCCTCTGTCGAAGAGAGCACTTTCTGGACTCGATTAGTCAGCCGACTCTCTACGTTCGTCTATGCTGAGGATGCACCACATCGATTGAGGGTTGGATTGATTGGTGGTGATATCCCCATGTTTCCACCATTGGCGCTGCTTCTTTCAATCCTGCTGGCGTTCCTTCTTTGGAAATTGAGCAAGAGGCGCTGTCGTTTCGTTCCAACGCCAATCCAATCGCTTACGATTCGTATTCTTTTTCTTGCGGTGGGTGTTGGTATGGGTCTCTCTTTGGCCAGTGCCTGTCGACGCGAGTTGGAGCGTGTTGGAACAGGCCCCAACTTCCAGAGTGTTTCCAAGATTGCCACCGGCGGCCCTTTTGCTTGGACTCGAAATGGAATGTACATCGCCGTACTTTTAATACAGGCTTCTTTGGCAATTGCATTTGACACTGCTTGGTTGGGTGTGTCGCTGCTTTCCATGATCCTTTATCTGGATCGTATTGTGGTGCCCGCCGAAGAACGGTTTCTGACAAGGGAACTTGGAGCTGAATACCAAGCATACTGTGATACTGTGCCTCGATGGCTTGCCTCTTTCGGTAACTAGTAGAGAGGAACAGTGTTGACCAGTTGAAAGACTATTGCATTAATATTCTTCAGAGACGAACGTTTTAGAGAGGTTGGGTTAGTCGAATTGATGCTTGCTGCTACAGCCTCTCGAAGCCCCAGAATCGAGTGAAGAAGAATGGATTGTCAAAAATTCCAATTGCACCAGCAAGAACTTCTAGCTTGCCTCTATCGAAAATGACCTGTGGTAGCGATTTATGACTATCCAGTTACCAGATTACCAGATTACTAAAATCAACCACAACCACAACAACCAAGTAGTAACACAACACTATAGCAACCTCTTTATCAACACCACCATCAGCCTTTTTCGGCTTATCAGGCGTGGAAGCTACTACGATAGAAGAACTACAAGCAAGACGACGTTCGAAGCTACTGTTCGTTCGTTCGTTCGAGCGACAAGAAGAAGAAGACGACGCGACGCTACCGTTCGTTCGTCCGTTCGAAGCAGCGCCATTGTCGCCGATTCGAAGCTACTGATTCGGAGCTACCGTTCGAACGACGAAGAAGACGAAGCCATTCGTTCGACGCAACGACCGTATACCATTGTCGTTCGCTTGTTCGAAGCGAGTATCTCGTGATCGTTGTCGCGAGTTGCGAGAAGAGAAGAGAAGAAGAGACGAAAGAAGAGACGACTCGAAGCGCCGTCGAGAGATACCTTTTCCTCATTGTCGACGACGAGAAGAAGAAGAGATCCTCATTGCCCAATCGGCAGAGGAACAAGAGAAGAAGAGAAGACCTCCAAGCGGCATAGCAACAGAAGACCTCTCAAGAAGAAGGGGCTCTCTCAAGTGGAGCGAGAGATAGAGACTTCCAAGTGGGAAGCAGAGGTTTGGACTTGGAATATTGATCCCTCCAGTCTGGATCAATTCCTGCCTCATTGTCACCAAAGAAATCGATTGAGCCAAAGGAGAGGGACGCCTGATCCAAGAGTTTGGCCTAGACTGCCACAGACTGGGTGTGCAAGCTCATTCCGTGGAATACAGCCTTACTTGTCTGGTGTGTACAGTTTGCTGTTGAATAGGAGCAGAGAAGAAACCCAACAACTGTTGCTCACCAAGTGATACCGCAGAGAAGAAGTAATTGGAGGCGAATATGGCAGGCAATCTTGCAGCCATGAACAACTATCTACAGAATACCATCGGATTGCCGAATTAGCCACGAGACAGCATTGAATGATCAAGGATTGATGCCTTCGTCTCACTCGATACCTTTACCGATGCTGAAATCAAGAGCATCTGCGAGAAAGTGAGGAAACCAGTGTGGTACCATCCCAATCCAGCCATTGCGGCTGCAGCCACTGCCGAAGCGCCGCAGCAGTTCAGCCCAAGAAGTTCCCAACCGTGGACACAGCTGGGATTTGTCTTTGAGAGCGACTCAGACAACTACGTTCTACAAGTTTCACATGACACGAATCCAGCGTGAGTTCACTCCCAACCAAGCCAGTTTGGCGAGATTGAATAGAGTTTGGCTTTATACGAGTCCGAACGAGAAGAAATTGATGTTGCGGTCCTCCCCAACTCTTGAAGTCGAAGATGTCCGACGATTCTGGAGTCTATTGACAATGTTCTGAATGTCAAGCGAGGCGTTGCGGTGCCCCTCTGGCTTATGTACGAGATCCAAAGTCACTTTGCCAGGAGCACCTGATACCGACACCGCAGATGAGGCTGACCCAGGTTTTGGCCTTCCATCGCATCCTGAAGAATTGTCCGAAGAACAAGACATCCGGACCTCATTTCGTACAGACAATCAGGCTGTTTGGCCATCATTCGGTCGGTTATCACGGTGGACCTGGTTGACATGGGTCCAACGTTGTCAGCGCAACAGAAGGTCGAGCAGCTTACTTGGCCATGAAGGTTCCTATCTTGGTTATTCGTTCCAGCTCGTACCAAGCACGCGATAGAGCCATGAAACCCTCCTTTGGATCTGATTCGCGCGATGAAGGTTGGAATCGAGATCGTGGAGGCTTGCGTACAAGCTCAGGTGATGGGAGTTCCCCTTGATGCCGGGCTCACGTCAAGCGGACAACATGTTCGTGATCAAGAACTCGAGCATCCGGAGTCTACTTTGAAGAAAAAGAGCAACTCGGTCGCATACCACTATGTCCGGAAAGAGTCGCTGCAGGAATGGAAAACATCACTTATGAGAACACAGAGAGCAATTTGGCCGATATGTTGACGAAATCCAGAACGGGCCTGTGAGAAGCGACTGGTTTCGAAAGTCCTATACTACAATCTGCAAAAAGGCAACATGACCTAGGGTGGGCCGTTTGGTGACGGCAGGTCTGAGCCTCAAGGGGCCTTGCCCCAAGGTACATCCTGTTTCAGAACCGAAGTCTGTTTTCCCATTCAAGTGCAATCTAGCGTGAGATAGATCCCCCTCTGCTTGAGGGGACCGAAAATGACCTGTGGTAGCGATTTAGTTTATGACTATCCAGTTACCAGATTACCAGATTACTAAAATCAACCACAACCACAACAACCAAGTAGTAACACAACACTATAGCAACCTCTTTATCAACACCACCATCAGCCTTTTTCGCTATAGGTCTCTGTTCAGGATCCCGATCACAGTTAGCCTCCTTGGTTTCCAAGCATTCTGTACGTTCTTGCCAACCAAGACAAGAATCCTTCATCGCAGACTTTCAGACCGCGTTTTAAAATACATTTCTTCATGATAGTTCGACTGGAAGTGCCACGTTGGATAGAAAAAGCGTTGGGATGCAGACTCACTTTTGCCATGGCTTCTGTTGTGCGGGAGTGAGACTTTTTCCTTCTGCTTCGGTCCAAACAGCTCAAGAGGCTTCTGGAGAACTGTAGCTGTTATTACGGTACTACTTAGTAGTTGTTGCCTTACAATGAATGAGACCAACCACCGCCACCATGTTTCGAGCTTTAGGCAGCAGACTGACGCCACGAGGGGTAGTACCTAGTACATGCAGCAGATCTACTGCTACTAGTAGAGTTGCTCATCATCACGTACCCGTTCAAAGAGGATTCTGGTCGCAAACAACACAATTATGCACTGTCACAGAATCCACGTCTGACCCTCCGGAACGAAACCCACTCAACCATCCCCACATCTTTGCTTGCTCCGACCACAAGAACACAAGAACCCCAAAGCATCCTTTTCAACAGCAAAAGATGGAAATGGCAACAGAAACACAACGCCTGGAAGCGTTGGCGAGGGAATGGGAATGGCCACAAGCGCTCTCTCGTTCCTTCAAGGGCCCACCAAAATCTGAGGCCGACCTGGAAAAGCGAAAAGAGCACAAGCTTGAAGTGAAGCAGTTTCTGGCCAACCTGACGGCGGAGCAGCGAAACATGCTCATTCCCCCAAAAACCAAAACGACGAAAGCCTCTGAAAAGAAGAAGAACACAGGAAATACGGCAAAACCCAACAACAAGGGGGGAGCGCCCTCCAAGAAACGACGAGACCAGCGGAGAGAAGCTGCACAAGAGACATTGGAGGTCTTGAATACAGGACAGTACCACACGGAAGACGGACGCCTGGTTTCCATTGAACAGGAATTGCAAGCATCGGTGGAAGGGACCCGTCTTTGTCGACCTGCCGACCTACTAGAAGAAAGTTTGATCCGCAAGGCGACAACCTTCCAAGGGCAATCATGTTTGGAAGTCCACAACGAAACCACTTTTGCTGGGGCAAGGGCACTGTTGCAACGAAATGCCGCCCGTGTTTGCGTTCTCAACTTTGCGTCGGCCAAAAGTCCGGGAGGTGGGTTTCTGAATGGCGCCAAAGCCCAAGAAGAAGACTTGGCCCTTCGATCGGGTCTTTATGCGTGCCTTTCAAGAGGGAATGGTGTTGCCGACTATTACACGGAAAACCAAACGACCCGCGATGGAATTTACACCCACCACATGATTTATTCTCCCGACGTGCCAGTCTTTCGGGAGGATGGCGAAGTGGGAAGATTTCTGGAGGTTCCCTGCCAGGTTTCCATCATTACATCCCCGGCACCCAATGCAACGGTATTCCAGCAAAAGAACACACGAGTGCGGAGCAAGAAACATGTCACCAAACAGACGAATCCACCCGACGACATGCCAGCAGAGTATTGGCAAATATTCCAGGAGAGAATCCGTCATGTCCTCCATGTGGCTATTGCGAATGGCCATTCGAACTTGGTCCTGGGGGCTTGGGGATGTGGCGTCTTTGGCAATGATCCCGCCAAGGTAGCGCAACTGTTTGCCACCGAGCTCCAGGCGGTGGCGGGGCATTTGGAAGCGGTCCGATTCTCCATTTGGGCGGGTGATCGTGTAGACGACCCGAATCTAGTGGCCTTTCAGCGGCAATTCGCGTAACGATAGTACACATGGAGAATCGGACCGCTTCCAAATGCCCCGCCACCGCCTGGAGCTCGGTGGCAAACAGTTGCGCTACCTTGGCGGGATCATTGCCAAAGACGCCACATCCCCAAGCCCCCAGGACCAAGTTCGAATGGCCATTCGCAATAGCCACATGGAGGACATGACGGATTCTCTCCTGGAATATTTGCCAATACTCTGCTGGCATGTCGTCGGGTGGATTCGTCTGTTTGGTGACATGTTTCTTGCTCCGCACTCGTGTGTTCTTTTGCTGGAATACCGTTGCATTGGGTGCCGGGGATGTAATGATGGAAACCTGGCAGGGAACCTCCAGAAATCTTCCCACTTCGCCATCCTCCCTGAAAGACTGGCACGTCGGAGAATAATCATGTGGTGGGTGTAAATTCCTCGCGGGTCGTTTGGTTTCCGTGTAATAGTCGCAACACCATTCCCTCTTGAAAGGCACGCATTAAAGACCCGATCGAAGGCCAATTTCTTCTTGGGCTTTGGCGGCCATTCGAACACTCCGGACTTTTGGCCGACGCAAAGTTGAGAACGCAAACACGGGCGGCATTTCGTTGCAACAGTGCCCTTGCCCCAGCAAAAGTGGTTTCGTTGTGGACTTCCAAACATGATTGCCCTTGGAAGGTTGTCGCCTTGCGGATCAAACTTTCTTCTAGTAGGTCGGCAGGTCGACAAAGACGGGTCCCTTCCACCGATGCTTGCAATTCCTGTTCAATGGAAACCAGGCGTCCGTCTTCCGTTGTGGTACTGTCCTGTATTCAGAGACCTCCAATGTCTCTTGTGCAGCTTCTCTCCGCTGGTCTCGTCGTTTCTTGGAGGGCGCTCCCCCCTTGTTGTTGGGTTTTGCCGTATTTCCTGTGTTCTTCTTCTTTTCAGAGGCTTTCGTCGTTTTGGTTTTTGGGGGAATGAGCATGTTTCGCTGCTCCGCCGTCAGGTTGGCCAGAAACTGCTTCACTTCAAGCTTGTGCTCTTTTCGCTTTTCCAGGTCGGCCTCAGATTTTGGTGGGCCCTTGAAGGAACGAGAGAGCGCTTGTGGCCATTCCCATTCCCTCGCCAACGCTTCCAGGCGTTGTGTTTCTGTGGCCATTTCCATCTTTTGCCTGTTGAAAGGATGCTTGGGGTTCTTGTGTTCTGTGTGTCGGAGCAAGCAAAGATGTGGGGAGTTGCAGTGGGTTTCGTTCCGGAGGGCCAGACGTGGATTCTGTGACAGTGCATAATTGTGTTGTTTGCGACCAGAATCCTCTTTGAACGGGTACGTGATGATGAGCAACTCTACTAGTAGCAGTAGATCTGCTGCATGTACTAGGTACTACCCCTCGTGGCGTCAGTCTGCTGCCTAAAGCTCGAAACATGGTGGCGGTGGTTGGTCTCATTCATTGTAAGGCAACAACTACTAAGTAGTACCGTAATAACAGCTACAGTTCTCCAGAAGCCTCTTGAGCTGTTTGGACCGAAGCAGAAGGAAAAAGTCTCACTCCCGCACAACAGAAGCCATGGCAAAAGTGAGTCTGCATCCCAACGCTTTTTCTATCCAACGTGGCACTTCCAGTCGAACTATCATGAAGAAATGTATTTTAAAACGCGGTCTGAAAGTCTGCGATGAAGGATTCTTGTCTTGGTTGGCAAGAACGTACAGAATGCTTGGAAACCAAGGAGGCTAACTGTGATCGGGATCCTGAACAGAGACCTATAGCGAAAAAGGCTGATGTGGTGTTGAAAAGAGTTCGTAATAGTGTTGTGTGTTATACTGGTTGTTGTGGTTGTGGTTGATTTTAGACGTAATCTGGTAACTGGATAGTCATAAATCGCTACACAGGTATTTTCGGTCCCCTCAAGTTAGAGGAGGATCTATCTCGCTGCTAGATTGCACTTGGAATGGAAAACAGACTTCGGAAGCTGAAACAGGTATGTACCCTTGGGGCAGGCGCCCTTGGAGTGCTCAGACCTTGCCGTTCACAAAACGGCCCACCCTATGGTAATGTTGCCTTTTTGCAGATTGTCAGTATAGGACTTTCGAAAACCAGTCGCTGTTCTCACAGGCCCGTTCTGGATTTCGTCAACAAATCGGCCAAATTGCTCTCTTGTGTTCTCATAAGTGATGTTTGCCATTCCTGCAGCGATCTCTTTCACGGACATAGTGTGTATGCGACACGAGTTGCTTTTTTTCTTCAAATGTAGACTCCGGGATCGTCGAGTTCCTTGATCACGCATGTTGTCCGCCTTGGACTGGGCTGAGACCGTCGAGGTCCAAAAGCACTCATCCCACTTGACCGCAAGCCCTCCACGATCTCGATTCCAACACTTCATTCGCCGCAGAACTCAGATCCAAAGGAAGGAAAGTTTCAATGGCTTCATCCGCGAATGCCTTGGTACGACGCCTGGAACGAATACACCAATATAGTGAACCTTCATGGCTAAGTAAGCTGCTCGACCGTCCTGTTGCGCTGCATCAACGTGGACCCATGTCCAACCACAGTCCACCGTGAGTAACGAACGAATGATGGCCCAACAGCCTGATTGTCTTGTACGAAATGAGGTCCGGTACCTGTATTGTTCTTCGGACCAATTATTCAGGATGCGATGGAAGGCTAAAACCTGGGTCAGCCTCTTCTGCGGTGTCGGTATCAGGTGCTACTGGCAAAGTGACTTTGGTTCTCGTAACATAAGCCAGATGGGCACCGCAAACGCCTCGCTGGACATTCAGAACATTGTCAAAAGACTCCAGAACTCGTCGAACATCTTCGACCCACCTCACCGTTGGGAGGATCCACATCAACTCTTCTCGTGGCACTCGTAAAACCCCAACTCTATTCAATTTCGCCAAACTGGCTTGGTTTGGAGTGAACTCACGCTGGTTTCGTGTCATGTGAAACTTTTAGAACCGTAGTTGTCTGATTCGCTTCTCAAAGACAAATCCCAGCTGTCGTCCACGGTTGGTAACTTCTCTGGGCTGAACTGCTGCGGCGGCTTCGGCAGTGGCTGCAGCCGCAATGGCTGTATTTGGAATGGTACCACCTGGTTTCCTCACTTTCTCGCAGATGCTCTTGGTATCAGCATCGGTAAAGGTATAGAGTGAGACGAAGGCATCAAATCCTTGATCATTCAATCCTGTCCTCGTGGCTAATTAGGCAATACCGATGGTATTCAGTAGATATTTCATGGCTGCAAGATTTCCTGCCATATTCGCCTCTAATTACTTCTTCTCTTGCTGTATCACTTGGATGAGCAGCAGTTGTTGGGTCTTCTTATCTGCTCCTATTCCAACAGCAAACTGTACACACCTAGACAAGTAAGGCTGTATCCCACGGAATGAGCTCTGCACACCCAGTCTGTGTCAGTCTAGGCCAAAACTCTGAGATCAGGCGTCCCCTCTCCTTCGGCTCAATCGATTTCTTTAGTGACAATGAGGCAGGAACTGATCCAGACTGAGGTATCAATATTCCAAGTCCAAACATCTGCTTCCCACTTGGAAGCCTCTATCTCTCGCTCCACTCGAGAGTGCCCCTTCTTCTTTAGAGGTCTTCTGTCGCTATTCCGCTTGGAGGTCTTCTCTCCTTCTCCTGTTCCTCTGCCGAGTTGGGCAATAGGATCTTCTTCTTCTTCTCGTCGTCGACAATGAGGAAAAGGTATCTCTCGACGGCGCTTCGAGTCGTCTCTTCTTTCGTCTCTTCCTCTCTCTCTCTCGCAACTCGCGACAACGATCACGAGATACTCGCTTCGAACAAGCGAACGACAAGTAACGTCGTTGCTCGGAACAAGTTCGCTTCTCGTCGTTCAGAACGTACTCCGATCAAAGCTCGAATCGCGACAATAGCTGCTCGAACGGACGAACTAACGGAAGCGTCGCTCCTTCTCTTCTTGTCGCTCGATCGAACCAACGAACAGTAAGCTCAACGTCGCTGCATGTAGTTCTTCTATCCGAGTAGCTTCCACACCTGATAAGCCGAAAAAGGCCGATGATGGTGTTGATAAGAGGTTGCTTATAGTTGTGTCACTACTTGGTAGTTGTTGTTTGGTTGATTTTAGTAATCCGGTAATCTGTAACTGATAGTCTATAAATGCTACCACAGTCATTTTCCGAGTAGAGCTAGCTAGAAGTTCTTGCTGGTGCAATTGGAATTTTTGACAATCCATTCTTCTTCACTCGATTCTGGGGCTTCGAGAGGCTGTAGCAGCAAGCCTCAATTCGGCTAACCCAACCTCTCTAAAACGTTCGTCTCTGAAGAATATTAATGCAATAGTCTTTCAACTGGTCAACACTGTTCCTCTCTACTAGTTACCGAAAGAGGCAAGCCATCGAGGCACAGTATCACAGTATGCTTGGTATTCAGCTCCAAGTTCCCTTGTCAGAAACCGTTCTTCGGCGGGCACCACAATACGATCCAGATAAAGGATCATGGAAAGCAGCGACACACCCAACCAAGCAGTGTCAAATGCAATTGCCAAAGAAGCCTGTATTAAAAGTACGGCGATGTACATTCCATTTCGAGTCCAAGCAAAAGGGCCGCCGGTGGCAATCTTGGAAACACTCTGGAAGTTGGGGCCTGTTCCAACACGCTCCAACTCGCGTCGACAGGCACTGGCCAAAGAGAGACCCATACCAACACCCACCGCAAGAAAAAGAATACGAATCGTAAGCGATTGGATTGGCGTTGGAACGAAACGACAGCGCCTCTTGCTCAATTTCCAAAGAAGGAACGCCAGCAGGATTGAAAGAAGCAGCGCCAATGGTGGAAACATGGGGATATCACCACCAATCAATCCAACCCTCAATCGATGTGGTGCATCCTCAGCATAGACGAACGTAGAGAGTCGGCTGACTAATCGAGTCCAGAAAGTGCTCTCTTCGACAGAGGAGGAGGAGTATGTCATGGTGCTTATAATAATTAATTTGGTCGAGGATGGTTATGAATTTGAAAGAGTACCGGTACCAGGTACGTTCCTACCATTAGGAAGCTCCTCCTTGCTCCTTGAGTGACACGGATCTTTTGCCGCACGATTTGACTTTTCGGAAGCAGTTTCTTGAACAAGCTGGGGGGTGGCTCAAATCAACTTACCATTTCCGGCATCACCCTCCACCACCTTGGGGGCAAGGTTTACCTCCAACTGCCTTCGACCGACTTCAACCGCTTTTGACCGACTTCAACCGCCTTTTTTACTGACTGTTTACCTCCATTTACCATCATTGGTTACGCTTTACCACCTTCTACCACCTCTTACCGACCTCCACCGCCTTGCCTTTTGGCGAAGAATGCGGGAAAACTCGAGGACCTATTCAACGACAATAAAGTGTTGACCACCCCCATGGCGGAAATGTACCACACTTAACCCAAAGCAATGCATTGCTTGCGTTGCTACACGAGCGAGTCTTCTAAACAGCCTAGACCAGTAGCGTACCATGTACCTTACCGTACCGGGATCTTCAACGCGCCAACTCGTTCTTTACAACCAATGCAAGGGCACAATTGAATGGCTGAATACAATGGTCAACCGCGGGGCTCACATAAGTAACTGCTTTGATCACCACCACCATCGTCGCCAAACCACCGAAAGCAGCATCTCCCGTGACAGCGTGCGGAAGCAAAAGGTTGGATACCAAATACGGTACCATAGCTACTCAAAAAACTAGACTACAATGTTAATCGTCTACGCTGCATAGAGATTTCTCCTACGTGCCGCGCATCCTAATTGCTTATAAAACTTCGAACCTCGCATGGGTGACTGGACAAAAAAGCCCCCTAGTTTTCTGATACGTTTTTTTGTTTGCTTTGCTTTGCTTCATCCGCTGTGTGATCAGCCACTGGCGTCTCAATTGTCAGACAGCCTCACACAGGGATGGATTTTGGGAAAGAAAGTAGTGGACGACCTTTGTGTCATCTCGATTGTCGCTAATGGCGTCAATCCAATCCTGACGGGTCGCTTGTCCACTCTCGAGCAAATGATGCCGGCCTGCTTGATTGAGTTTTAGATACAGTGCTATCAATGGATCATCTACGGTCGGGAGCTCAGCAAAGCTGACGACTCTGCTATTGTTGTTGAGCCCGAAAGGACAAAGGAGCTGGTCTGGATTGCCCTCAACAGTGATTTGCTCGACAATACAATTGCTTATCAACATGTCCCGTGCCGCTTGCGCAGCCGGTAACAACTGCTGATACGGCGGAGACGGCTGAGGAGCAGGAAATGGCAGTGGTGGAGGAGGCAATGGTCCGGGAGGAGGTGGAGGCAAAAATCCCCTCTGCGGTCGCTGACGACCCCGAGGTGGCTGATGACCCGGCGGTGGCGGAGGAGCAGGCAATAGCATTCTTGCCGCTACTGGTAGGGGAGGAAGCAAAAATTGGGGTGGGAAAAGATCTGGTGGGGGGCCATCCCCGTGACGCCCGAAAGCAATGGCCTTGAGGGATCTGTTTTCCTTCAGAGCCGTCATAACTGGTTGGATGGATCTCAAGTCAAAGAGAGAGAGATTCAACTGTTCTAGGACAATATTTGTGTTCCACACTCTTCCTAGTACCGAACAAACTCAAGTTCTGTTTCGTGCATGGCGTCCAGGATATCACTGCCGTCTTGTGCTAGGAACGCCCACGGTGGAAAATGTCTCATTATTTCGGCGGGGTCAATCAGATCTACAAGGTCAATGGAAAGATGCCTTGCTTGAGATGCGACCGCACAAGCGATTCTGTTGTAGAGAGCTCTCAAAGCTGCCGGGTTGCGACCGATTGAAACCCCTGCCACCAAATGAACGGTCTCAAGGTTTGGCAAATCGCTAAGAGCCGCAAGGAGTGCTTGCACCGACGCTTCCTCCTCGAACCCCGACAGAAACATGTCTGTCAGAGCCAAATGTTGCAGCGTGGACTTGGATTGCTGTACTAGCTGTGCCAAGGAACGAATTGGAATCTCAAACGAAAAGTTCGTAAGTCGAATCGATTCGAAGCGAAAGCCAGTGGACAACTGTGAAAACAAGTCCGTCATGAGCCGTGTTGCTTCTTCGGGGCTATAACCAGAGAAATGGGACTGTCTGGAACTGGAACGAAGGATGAGACGGTTCTGTGGCCGATGATGCATAAAGAGCAACGTCTCCATCACACCTTCGACCAAAAACCGGAGGCTGCCAAAGTTAATATCCAACATGGTGCCATCGTCATAGAGTGGGCGGGCATCCTCATTTCCGCCGTCAAAGCCGTCGTCTTGGATGATGTGGGCCATGCGGACATATGACGACTTTGCCTTCTCCACGCTACCCGAGTTTTCTTGATCAATGAGGTGAAAAGTTTGGAGCGAAGAATCTTTCACGAGTTCTGGCCTGTCAGTCCGTGCTCATCATACCTAACCTTACGTTTGACAAAATGTGCCCTGAACTAAGCTTCGTGGTAACTCGGTTGTCTTGAAACTCAATATAACTATCCCGTATTCCTCCCACCCAATTCTTCCTCACTCTCCGCTCTCAAAATTGTTTCAGCGCCCGGAAATGGGATTGTTGAGTTTTGCCATCGACCTGGGGTGCACCTGCTGAGTATTAAAATCGATAGTACCGACGATCTGTTAAATCATTGCGCACACCAGGG